TAGGCTTTAAAAGCACCTTTCCTCAAATTTCAAAGGACTCATGTCATACAGGCAGTTGTCTGTGTTATAGTTAAAAGCTAGAAATTAATAAACCAGAAAGACCCCTATGTTTGGAAACATATAAATGTACTCTTCAATGATGTATGCGCTGAAGGAAAAAATAATGGAAGTGAGAAAACATTTAGCATGCAACAGTAGTTTTTAAAAAATCAAGACTTGGAATGCCCTTAGAGGGGTACTTAGAAGGGAATTTACCCCGTAAGTGTTTAATTTTTCCTTCGTTTTCTAATGTAAGGAGCTGTATGCAAATGAAAACTGTTATTTATTTGGAAACTTGGATGACTTGGACATCCTCCTGTAAAAATAGTTCTCAAACTGACTTAAGAAGAAGTAGGAGACCAGACTACTCCTGTCCCCAATAACGGAATAGGATCAGTAGTTAGAAAATCATCCCATAAGACCACGTCCATTTCTCTTTCTGAGTAGTGACGGGACAAGTTAAATTGAGTTCTTCCAGGGAGGGGGAACATTGATCAATCCAAGACAGGAAGCTCTGGAAATGTCCAAGTGCTGGGTTTCCTTGCTGAACTGAAAGCTGTAGAGGGTGTCCAGTGGTGCCTGGTAATCGAAGATGCTGGGAGTCTTATGCCTGTGTCTCGTTTGGACTTCCTCCTGTGGCCGGTCCCTTGTCTTTACTAGTGAGAACACTGCGTGCCTTACAGGTATGTAAATGGTGCTCGCTGGTGACGCCAAGACAGGAGGAGACTATCATCAGCTTTCCTTGGGTTTCTAAAATGATCAACTTTTACATGTGTACTCTTGCGTTTTAGTTTTGTTGAAAATAAAAGTGGAAGTGCGTTATGAATACATAACTCACAAGATGTGCTTCCAAACTTCTTTGCCAATATATCCAGCCACGCCTATTAGGCGAGGTCTGTTAGGTGTTTGTTAAAAGGGGACATGAACCAGGCTGTTTCAGCTGCCCTGGGTGTCAGACAACCTTACTGCAAATATTAAGTCTTTTTATTGAGAATAGTTGACAATACAGTATTATATTAGTCTCAGGTGTGTACCATACAGCATTCGACAATTCTATACACTATGAGATGCCCACCATGGTGACTGGTGTCACCGTGGGTCCCCACACAAATCTGTTACAACATTGAGTATATTCCCTTTGCTGTACTTTTTATCCTGTGACTTATTTATTTCATAACTGGAAATTGGTACCTCTTAATCCCCTTCACCTTGTTTATCCATCCCCCCACCCTTTCCCCTCTGGCCAGTTTGTTCTCTGTGTTTGTGAGTTTGTTTCTGGGTTTTTTTTGTTTGTTCATTTGGTTTGGTTTTTTAGGTTCCGCATAAAGTGAAATCACGTAGTATTTGTTTCTGTCTGACTTAGTTCATTTAGCATCATATCCTCTGCATCCTTTCACATTGTCTCCAGTGGCGAGGTTTCATTCTTGTTTATGGCTGCGTAATACCCCACTGTGCATCTGTCTGTACCAGATCTGCTTTATCCATCTATCAGTGGACACTTGGGTTGCTTCCATACCTTGGCTGTTGTAAATAATGCTGCAGTAAACTTAGGGGTGCATATATTTTCCAAATGAGTGTTTTTGTTTTGTTCCGGTAGATATCCAGAGTGGAATTACTGGGTCATATGGTATTTCTATTATCAGTTTTTTCAGGACCCTCCATATTGTTTTCCACAGTGGCTGCATCAGTTTACATTCCCACCAACACCATGCGTGAGGGTTCCTTTCTCTCCACATCCTTGTCAACACTGTTGTTTCTTGTCTGTCTACTACTGGCCATTCTGACTGGTGTGATCCAGTACCGAATTTATACCATGATGAATCAATTCCTCTCCCTTGTTGGGGGGTGGGTGGGAGGAACAAATGGGTGAGGGAAATGAAATGAAAGGGGTTTGAAGACATTTATGCCGAGAAGTGTTTTGGTATGACCTGAAATGGATGTTTTGCCATTATTCCAAGGGTTTTGCGGCCTCCAGGCGGTGGATCCAATTTTTCATTAGGCTTTGATGAACCAACAGAACAGCCTGTGAGGAGGAACAAAATGGCATCTAGCATCTTTGGGACACCTGAGGAAAATCCTCCTTCATGGGCCAAGTCGGCAGGTACTGCTTATATCTGTGGTCACTGGTCAAAAGGGACGGACCCAGCATGAATAACTACAATTGGTTTTCTGTGATGAGCAAAATCCAGCTCAACCATAATGAGATCAACAACAGTTAAAGCTTATCAGTGGAGGAAAGACTGGGACCAAAAAGTGGCAACTACTGAGTCTTGAGGGGTCGGAATGGGGACTGGGGTCAAATTGGGTTAGTTGGTAGAATTTTTAAGCTCTCAGTTAACCCTCCTAACGGTGTTAGCTCGTTTTGTATATGAGACTAACACGAACATCACTCATGAAAGCAGTGTTTTCGCTTAAGTTCTGTCCATTCCTCAAGAAAGTCTGGTTTAATTCAGGTGCCAAGTCTAGTGGTGGCCGACAGGATTCTGAGTCATCTGGACCCCAGAGAAGGAACTCTTCTGAAGCGAACGCTGGAGACTTCTTAGATCTGAAGGTCAGTGTGACAACATGGGACAAGGGCTTTGAGGTTAATACAGTTTAGAAATTCACTTCTCTCCTGTTGTACTAAGAGCTTCAGTTTTGCCACTGGAGTCTGACATAATTAGGAGAGGGACGGAGGCCATATTGGGAATGGAAGATCGATAAAGAATAAAGTCGGAAAAGTGAAGTGACATGATCTGGGTCTGTTCAGATGTCTCTTCTACCAGTAGGATTAGTCTCTCTCCTTCACTATTGATTTTGGGAACTAATGGAGCACGCTTAGTTCCTACGTAACTCATATGTAGTAGCATTTGTGAATTCAGAGATTGTTCCTGTTGTTGGCAAACATTGCCCAGTTGTTCTGAGCTGAACTCCAGGAGACTCCAGCGGGGGCTTTACCCTCAGTTGTCTGCAGAGGACCATGGTCCCAGTGCCCCCAGGGATGTGTCTGGAAGCCTGTAAGCAGGGACCTCAGAGCACACAGAGGCATCAGCGGTGCAAGTGTGGAGAGACCTGTGTGGGACTTTGGAATTTATAGAGGCCCTTCAACAGCTAGATAAAGAGAAAGGAGAGAGAGAATGGAAGGATAAATTTACCAGTTTCCCATTCTGATTAAAGGATCCTCTGAAATCCTAATTGATATTAGGTCATTGGCGTAAATGTTAACGTTTTTTGGTGTGTTGGATATTGCTGGCACTGGGGCAACCTGTCATGTAGCATTTTTGTTCAGCATTGTCCAAAAGTAACTAAAGGTTGTAATGTTACCGTGTTGCGGCCTGACCCTGAACTTGACTGCATCAAAATGAAATTTCGCATTTGGTTTCAAACAGATAGTAGCCTATCAGAACCGTGACTGCTTTATTTGCTTGTTATAAAATTAAAATCTGGAGTAAATTTTTAGGGGCATCTGGCTGGCTCAGTCAGAAGAGCATGTGACTCTGGATCTCAGGGTCCTGAGTTTGAGCCCCATGTTGGCTAGAGATTACTAAAAAAATAAATTAAAAAAAATTAAATAAAAATAAAAACTGAACTAAACTTTAAATTTCTTTTCTTTTCCAGGGAGAAGGCGACATTCATGGTGAGTCCTCCTGAAGCCCCAGTTTCTGGTTCTGTAAATGGTTTTAGCATAGATTGTAATTTGAAATTGAAATCGTGTCTTGGGGAAAGAGACTGGGGAGTGAAACCTGGCTTTGCCCCAAGTGCCTGCATGCTCTGGGTTCGCAGGAAAGAAAAATGAAACCGGGAAGTTAGTGAACACGGCTGCATGTATATCTGCTGCGGTGAGCGCCATGTCAGAAATGCAGCAGGGAGGGGAAACGGAGAGTCTTTCACGAATATGTGTCCAGTAGTCAGGCTGTTGTCTGTTACTCTTTTTTTTTTTTTTTTTTAAGATTTTATTTATTTGATAGATGGAGATCACAAGTAGGCAGAGAGGCAGGCAGAGAGAGAGGAGGAAGCAGGTTTCTGCTGAGCAGAGAGCCTGATGTGGGGCTCGATCCCAGGACTCTGGGATCATGACCTGAGCTGAAGGCAGAAGCTTAACCCACTGAGCCACCCAGGCGCCCCAGTGTCTGTTACTCTTAATAAGAGCTTTTTAGTAATAAGTGCTGGCATTTCAAGCTTGGCCCACAGCATTTAATGACCAAGTTTGTTTGATTTTTATGCTCAGGTGCTTATTTAGCAAGACACGGGTACCTCTGTGATCTTACAGATGATGATTTAGGGGGCAGATGTGAATTCTCAGCATCCATGTTACCAATTATATGTGGAAATGAGCTATAATCATTTATTTAATGATAGTCAATCTTTGAAGTATTTATTGAATCTTCCTTAACAAGTGCCAGAGAATTACTTCTGCGCGCAATGAAAGGCTCGTGTGTGTCAGGCAGTAGGAATCAGGTGAAAGTTGACTCAGTGAAATGCAGCCGCCGGAAGGCCTTGTCTGGTCCAGAAGGAAGAGGCTGCTTCCTCAGGACCTCTTCCTACCATTACACTCTGTGAGGCAGCTGTTCCATAGAACAGGTTTAAGAACCAGATTCCTCTCCGGCCCTCTCTGTCTTCCCTTCCCTCCCCTTCTTTTTCTTTTCTCTTCTCTTCTTTTCTTAAAGATTTTATTTATTTATTTATTATTTTTAAATTTTTTAAAGAAGATTTTATCTATTTATTTGACACAGAGAGAGATCACAAGCAGGCAGAGAGCCCAATTTGGGGCTCGATCCCAGGACCCTGAGATCATGACCTGAGCTGAAGGCAGAGGCTTAACCCATTGAGCCACCCAAGCGCCCCTTATTTATTTATTTTAGAGAGACAGAACATGAGCGGGGGCGGGGGGAGCAACAGAGGGAGTGGGGAGAAGCAGACTCCCTGCTGGGCAGGGAGCCCGATGCAGGGCTCGATCCCAGGACTCTGGGATCATGGACCTGATCTGAAGGCAGACGCTTCATGGACTGAGCCCCCCAGGCGCCCCTCAGACAGTGTTTCTTGGTGGGAGTGGTGGGAGAAGGATCTCCTGAACCTTTGTGAGCGTTACCAGGGTTTCTCCTCAGTGCACGAGTCACTTTCTCACTGGACTGAAGATGTTATTGTTCGTGTCCAGTGTGTTCCGTTCGCAGAGATTCTTCTGGAGGTAAAGAAATCTTCAGGGCTTTTCAGTTTTGCTGCTTTCCATGTTCTGAAGTACTTCCACATCAGACCTGACTTAGCAAGAATCAGCTCATCTTTAGTCCCCACTTTTGGACAGGAGATGGAGTTAGTCATCTGCGGAGCCTGAAGAAATATGTGAGAGCCCCTGATGAAGTTAGGAAAAAATGTGTCATTATTCCTGCTAATAATGACTCCCCTCTCACCCCCGTTCAGTTTATTAGAGATTCTTCAGGTAAACAGCACCCTAAGTTGTGTAGTATGACAAGTCTTTACTTTTAGTTCGTTTGTCATGAAATGACAAGGGGCATAACGATTCAAGATCCGCCTGGTGGCAGAGAGGTCAACCCCAGTCCTGTTGCCAGGTTTACTTCAAAGTCAAGCTACTCTACTCAGTTTATTTTTTTCTTTGTTCCTACTCAGTTTAAATAAGACAGATTTTGTTTGGGTATAAGGAAAATTGCCTCCCTCTTTTGGGAAATGAAATACAGCAATGGCTAAAGGGAGCACGTGGGAAATCTGTAGCGGAGGGAGAAGGTCCATGGGATTTAGGTCGAAGTCTTTCCCGCCTTCAGGCAAGTTAGACAGTCTGCTGCACTTCTCGACGCTCTAATTCTTTCATCCTTATAATAAACCACTTTATCATTTACTCTGATGTGTCCGTTCAGTGAGCTCATTGATGTGCCGAGGAAGAAAGAGAAGTCAGGAGTATATAAGTTAGCTATTCTAGTAGATGTGTTTGTGTTTAAAGTCCCATTTTTCAGTTATTAGATTCAACAGACAGAAGCTTTCTCTGTCAGGTCCTGTGTAAGTTTCTTTTCTTTTTTTAAAGATTTTATGTATTTATTTGGCAGAGAGATAGAGATCACAAGTAGGCAGAGAGGCAGGCAGAGGGAGAAGGAGAAGCAGGCTCCCCGCTGAGCAGAGAACCCGATGCGGGGCTCGATCCCAGGACCCTGAGATCATGACCTGAGCCAAAGGCAGAGGCTCAACCCACTGAGCCACCCAGGCGCCCCTCTGTGTAAGTTTCTAAAGCCTTATTCTCAGTTCCTGTACTTGTCTCATTATAGACTAAAGGGATGGAGTAACAGACTAGCCTTATTTTTTCTGGCTGGAGTAGTTCTGAGTAGACAAAGGAGCATTTAAATTAAATTAAGAATTGTTTATTCTTCATATGTGCTTTTTTTTTTTTTTTTCTTTTTTCTTTCTTGGCATATTATCTAGTCATGAAAGACAAAACTGTTCCCTTAATAATGAAAGACAGACATAAGATTGGTGGGTGTGAGCTTGATTTATCTAAAAATCATTTTATGGAGGGGCTCCTGACTGGCTCTGTCAGTGGAGCATGAGACTCCTGATTTCGGGGTCATGAGTTCGAGCCCCACATTGGGCATGGAACCTACCTAAAATTTAAAAATAAATAAATAAATAAATAAAATAAAATAAATCGTTTAATGGAGGGGCGCCTGGCTGGTTCAGTCCGTGAAGCATAGAACTCTTGATCTTGGGGTTGTGAGTTCAAGCCCCACGTTGGGTGTGGAGATCACTTTAAAAAGAGTCTTAAAGGGGTACCTGGGTGGCTCAGTGGGTTAAAGCCTCTGCCTTCGGCTCAGGTCATGATCTCAGGGTCCTAGGATCAAGCCCCGCATTGTGCTCTCTGCTCAGTGGGGAGCCTGCTCCCCTCTACCTCTGCCTGCCTCTCTGCCCACTTGTGATTTCTCTCTCTATGTCAAATAAATAAATAAATAAATAAATAAAACCTTTTAAAAAAAAAGTAAAAATAAAAATCATTTTATGAAAATAAATGACCACGGTAGGGCTGCAAGGTAATGAGCTGTTTCCTTTGGAAGTACTCCTAACTGCCTGATGCAGACAGACAACGGGGAGCTGTTAGAGCATGGGTACTGGTGAGGCCAAGTCCTAGCAGCACCAAGAAAATTGCTTGAATCCATAGGCTGGCTCAAGTGGAGTTCATGCTCTGTAATCATCCATCTTGGGTTGTTTCAGAATGTCGGTTTTTGGGTTTTGTTTGTATTTACAGTAAATGGGACATATTTAAGAGATACTTATCAGAGGACTTGTGTCCTTAATGTTGATGCCTTTGATCCTGCTTCTTGTGCAACAAAGTGTGGCAACGGGAAACGGAGGGGGGTGGGGTGACCCTTTCTTGCTCCATTGTTGTTTTAAGGGCTGTCAATTTGGAAAGCTTCAGACTGATTTTTACTGCTGGTTGATAATAGTATAGAACATTGTATGTGTTATGTTACCTCTATAGAAAGTTCCAAATGTTCATAAAAGGTAATGTCAAGAGCAGCAGTAGCATATTTCTGAGGTTTTTTTCTTTTTTTTTTTAAGATTTTATTTATTTATTTGAGAGAAAGAAAGTACGAGCAGGGGGGTGGGGGAGAGGGAGACACAGTCTCCCCGCTGAACAGACCTGAACTGAAGACAGACACTTAACCCGCTAAGCCACCCAGGAGCCCCTATTTTTGAGAGTTTTTTTTTTTGTTGAGTTTCCAATCTTAGACCTCTTCCTCCTTGGACTTATTGGTATCAAAGTTGGCTAAATCAAAACTTGGTACAAGGGGTTTTAGGAACATGAACTTTTAATGGTTAGTCTTTGAGGGACTTAAAGTACATTTCTTGGGGCACCTGGGTGGCTTATGATCTCTCTCTCTCTCTCTGTCAAATAAATTAAAAAAAAGAATATGCACCTGAATTGAATTTGATGGTTTAATACCGAAATGAGGCCTAGCATTTTGCACTTTTTAATTTTTTAATTAATTTATTATTTTTAAGATCTTATTTATTTATTTGACAGAGAGTAGGCAGAGAGGGGGTAGGGAGCAGGCCCCCTCCTGAGCAGAGCCCGATGCAGGGCTCGATCCCAGGACCCTGAGATCATGACCCGAGCCAAAGGCAGAGGCTTTAACCCACTGAGCTACCCAGGCACCCGTGCAGTCACTTTTGACTTGGAACAAAAACTTTTCCAAAAAAAAAAAAAAAAAGAAAAGAGAAAGAAAACAAACAAACTTTTCCAAGTTTGGAAACTGCCTCAATAAGAATACAGGTTTGTTGGGAATTTCACAGATTAGTAGATCAAGCAATGTCTAGGATGTTGGGTAATAATACACTAATTCTCAAGACTTTGACATGGAAAGTACCCAGTTAATATAAATGGGAATGACCTGATTAATGGAGATTTATAAGTCAGTAGGGGAAAGGTAGACTCTTTGATAAATGATGTCAATAAAATGGATTATCTTTATGGTTAGAAAAAGAAATCAGAGGGGCACCTGGGTGGCTCAGTCAGTTAAGCGTCCAACTCATTTTGTTTTTGTTTTTTGTTAGAGCGCACACAGGCGACTCTAGATCTCAGCTCAGGTCTTGATCTCAGAGTCAAGAGTTCAAGCTCTGCATTGGGCTCCACCCTGGGCGTGGAGCCTACTTGAAAAGAAAAAATTAAGCTCACCTAGTAATCATGGAAATGTAACACCAAACAGGAATGAAATAACATTTCACCCATCAGTTTGGCAAATTTTAAAGTGAGGTGATTACTAAATGGTTGGTGTGCAAAGGTTGGGGTAGAGCACGGCATAGCCTTTTGGGAAGATGTGAAGATGGGAGCCCTCATATCCCCATGGGCATCTGTTTCAGTTCATTTTTTGCTATCAGTAGAGCAAATACAGTACTATATTATATCAAATATATTGACTCATGGGATAAAATACTATAAAGCAATTAAGTAAGGTGAATTATGACCAGGTGTATAAATATGGGTGAATGTCTAAGAGTGTAAAAAAAGTAAGTTTATATCATTTATATCAAATACAACAACAAAAACAGTAATATGTATTCTCTGTTGGGAATAAAATATAAATACGCATTAAACAAAGGGACTAGATACAACTAGTAGTAGGCCCTCCGGGAGGAGGGAGAGGAGACCCACGTGGAGGTGGATTGGGGGTGAGGGGCCTATGGCTTATCTGTAATGTTCTTTTATTTTAGAGAAAGTGCAGTGGGGAGGGCCAGAGGGAGAGGATCTCAGTCTCCCTGCTGAGCACGGAGCCCCAGGTGAGGCTACCCAAGCATCCTGAAGATGTAAATATTTTAAATTAGAACATTACAAATAACTGGTGCTCCTGGGTGGCTCAGTCAGTTAAGCATCTGACTCTTGATTTCAGCTCAGGTCAGGATCTTGGGGTCCTGGGATCGAGCCTCATGTCGGGCTCTGCGCCAAAGCAGGGAGCCTGCTTGAGGATTCTCTCTTCCTCTCCCTCTGCCCCTTCCCCTGCACTCTCTCTCTCTCTCAAATAAATAAACCTTAAAAAAAAAAAAACCCACAAAAAAAACAAAATACATCTTCCTATTTGTGTATACTTTGGAAAAGAAACACATAGAAAAGCGCCTGGGTACAAATATGACAAAAAGACTGACAGTGGTTGGTTTTGGGTTGTGGGGACATAGTTGAACGATTATTGCCTTCTTTAGGTATGATTTGTTTTGTTATCTCTAGGTATGATCTGAACCATCCTTCAAGAAAATCTTAAGATTCTTCATTCTACCTAGAAATAATAATTAGCCCTGTTTCTTCTGTTTTCCTAGAAAACGTGGACACAGACTTGCAGGCCAGCCTGGGACAGAGTGAGGAGAAGCCTGTGCCCGCTGCCCCTGTGCCCAGCCCAGTGGCTCCGGCCCCAGTGCCGTCCCGAAGAAATCCCCCCGGTGGCAAGTCCAGCCTCGTCCTGGGTTAGCTCAGATTCTCTTGAACTCTGTCGTTTTGTTTGTTTTTGTTTCCTCCATGCTTGTGAACTGCACAACTTGAGCCTGACTGTACATCCTTTGGATTTGTTTCATTAAAAAAGAAGCACTTTATGTACTGCTGTCTTTTTTTTCTCCCCTCTCCTCCCCCAAAGAACAGGTTTCTCTCTCTCTGTCCTGATTCCTCTGGGTCTGTAGGCCATGGCATGAGTGTTTTCTAGTAGTAGATTGGAGGGAAAGTTTTGTGACACTTAGTACAGTGTTTTTAAGAACAATTTGGTTCCAAATGTGTTAGAGGATCTTTTGTACTGAGGTTTTTAAAACCCTTTTCTTGTCAGCTTTACTTGGGTTGACCAAGCCTTGACTGGACAGACCAGTAAACAGTCCACAGGCACCGTTCCTTCAGGCCCCCAAACACAGGGTTGTCTTTATGCCAAACCTACTCATTGTTGGCCTACCTTGTCAGTGGCCTTTGCTAAAAGCATCTCCCTGTGCCATATGGAAAGTAGAGGCCTGCGCCTCATGCCTTGCTGCCTGCCAAGCAAAAAACTGCCTTCTTCATTTTTGAACCTTAAGAGATAAGCCAGATACTAACTCAACTGACGAGCTAAGCCCGCTGCTCTCACGCAGAGGAAGGCTTCCATGTACGCTCAAGCTGACAAATTCCAAGTGGTAAGCAAAGCAAGGGCGGTGACCACACAGAAGTGGGTCTTTGTGGTGAACAGACCCCAGGGGGGCAGCGCTCTTCTTTGGGAACTTGAAGCTGTGTGCATGATGCTGGTGCTTGACCGTGAACTGAAGTATCCTTGAAATGTGTGTTGTACTTCACAATCCTGGACTGTTGCTTAAAGTAAACAATGTACAAATTTTGAAACATTGTGTCCTGTGTCATCTTTTTGAGACTGTTTCAATGTTCTCCCTGTTTAGTTACTTTTTTCTCTGTTACTCTAAATCCTGTTGCCCAAGGATTGATGATGAGTCATTCAAGTCAAGACAAACTAATGAAAACCCAGAGAAGTGGGCTTCTCTCTAAAGAAAATAGGTTTAGGGGCTCCTGGATGGGTCAGTCGTTAAGCGTCTGCCTTCAGCTCAGGTCATGATCGCAGGATCCTGGGGTTGAGCCCCACACTGGGCTCCCTGCTTGGTGGGAAGCGGGCTTCTCCCTCTCCCACTCCCCCTGCTTGTGTTCCCTCTCTCGCTGTCTCCGTCAAAGAAATATATAAAATCTTAAAAAGAAAAACAGATTTAGGGAGCCTGGGTGGCTCAGTGGGTTAAAGCCTCTGCTTTCCGCTCGGGTTATCATCCCAGGGTCCTGGGATCGAGCCCCGCATCGGGCTCTCTGCTCAGCGGGGAGCCTGCTTCCTCCTCTCTCTCTGCCTCCTTCTCTACTTGTGATCTCTCTGTCAAAAAAATAAAATCTTAAAAAAATAAAAAATAAAAAAACAGATTTAAAGTCACAGCAGGAGTTCAAAGCACCAAAATGGTATCTATGGTAATAAAATCCATGAGTAGTATGGATAAATGATAAAACAATTATTAGCCACTATATTTTACATTCTCCACCTACCCTTTGTGCCGGGCAGTAACATGTAAGATTTTAAGTCCTCTCATCTTGCAGGGTGCCTCCCAGTGGTGTGAGGTTACAGAAGAGGACTCCAAAGAAAGAGGGATGAGGATCTGAGGAGACAGAAGATAAGGAAAAAACTCTTGGGTTCTAGGCAGAAAGTTCTAGGTCAACATACTATATTAAATGTCCTAATTGGGCATTAAGACTTGGCTTTTAGGTCTAGCTACACTACTAAATTGTGGTTTTTGTCTTGTAATTTAGGGACCAATTTCCTTTCTGAAAAAGTGAGATTTTTGAGATGATAAGCATAACCACTGGTTCACTGGAACTCCTGGATATTTCTTTGGGAAAATAAAGGTGTTTATAGGTTCTGGGGGTGTTAAGTTTTTCTCCCTTATGATGCAAAGCATTTGCAAAATGGAGAAGTCAACAGCTTTATTACAGGATCTGTCCAATTTCACTAAAACAGTTTAGCCCTACAAACACTAGCCTGAGTTACAGTTTCTATTAGGACAGGAGGGAGGTAGGAACCCTACCTGTACCCTTCTAATGGTGGGGATCCTGGAAAAGAGACATCTCTGATTTGTGTCACAATTCGTAACTTCAGTGTTTTTTGTTTTGTTTTGTTTTTAAGATAAGTGCCTCATCAAAAGTCAAGTATTGTGAAGGAGGGAAGTTCTCCCAGTCATTCTGATATCAGAACAGATTTCAGGAAGTTCTATGTAAACATGTTTACTAAGGGTGTTACATTTTCTACTTAGGGTCTTGAAAGTGGAGTCGAATAATCATAAAATGACGAGGGCAGAACAAGCAGTATCTCGTGGACAGTCTGGACTTTTGGGACTCAGGTTGTGGGACGTGAGTGGGAAGGAGGGGAAAACAGTGGCGGACTCCCTATTGCTTATGCCGATTCTGCGTCCTAAGCCATTTTCATCAGATCGCTCTAGAACACGACACTAGGCTGCAGTGCTTCTGTTAACACTGGTTTGGAAGCACTGGGGCGCTCAGTGGGAGACTGCGGGGAGACGCTCACCTAACCCAACCCGAGTTTACAGTCGCAGGTAAATCTATTTGGACACAGTCAGAAAACGGCGTGAAGCCTACAAAGCAGCATCAACAAAACTTGGCAGCGCTCCGCGTTCTCCAGATGGGGCTGTAACGCCCCACTCCGGAGCAGAGGTCCCTCCCGCAGAAAGGACACTCCCGATTACCTGAGCTGGGTGCCTGTGGTCCGCTCGGGGTGGAACTGGACGTTCACAGCGGCCGCTCCCGACTCCGGCCGGAGTCCGTGTCCCGGGAGCCCCGCCCCCTTCAGCAGTCCTTTCCCTTCAGAGGCGCTGGGCGCCCCCGTGCGGCGGGCCCTGAAGGCTGCGGGCCCTGCAGGCTCCGGCCCCGCGTCCCGCGTGCTCCTGCGCCCGGCGCCACAAGCAGGGAGGGCGGCGGCCCGGGGCGTCGAAGTCGGGATTCTGGGGCTCGCGCCAGCCCCACAGGTTTAAGGAGCCCTGAGGCCTTCGCAGGGTCTGGGGTCGTCCACTGCGGAGTCGGGGGCGGCAGACGGGCACGCGGGCGCGCGCTCAGGCCGCCCCGCGCCGCCGCAGCCGGGGGAAGGCCGCGCGCTCCCTCGGGGCTGGTCCCCGGGGCGCCCCATGCAAATGAGCCCCGGTGCGCCCGCCCACCCCGCGCCTCCGGAAGTTGCGGGCCGGGCGCCCGCTCCCCCTCCCCCCCTCCCCCGTCCTTCCCTTGCCGGGCGCCCGCAGTGATGGCGGTGGCGATGGCGGCGCGGCGCGCGCGGCCCGTGCGGGTGCTGGTGGACATGGACGGCGTGCTGGCCGACTTCGAGGGGGGCCTTCTGCGGGGCTTCCGCCGCCTCTTCCCCGGGGAACCGCACGTGGCGCTGGAAGAGCGCCGAGGCTTCCTCGCCCGCGAACAGTACCGAGCCCTGCGGCCAGACCTGGGGGTAGGTAGGGAGAGGGCGGGAGCGCAGCGGGGGAGGGGTCGTGGGCGGGAGGGGAGCCCAGACCCCATGGTGACCCCGGGAGCGGAAGCCCCGACCCCACAGGGCGCCCAGGAGCCAGGCGTCCCCACCCACAGGGAGCCGGGGAACCGGGTACCCCGACCACAAAATGTCCCCGGGAGCGGGAACCCCGACCCCACATTGTCGCCAGGAGCAAGAGCCCCGACCCCACAGTGTCCCCGAAAGCAGGGAGCCCGAGCCCACAGGGCACCTAGGAATGGGAGCCCTCCCCTTGGGCAAGACTGCCTCTGCTCCATTTCCAGAGTCACCCCCTTTTTGTTTAGCAAAACCCTCGCTTCAGAATCCATTGTTCGCCCTGGACAAGAAAATCTGAAAGAATGCTTCCCCGGATGCAAAATCCTCTCCCTGTGGCTCTGGTTTGCCGACGGGTCCCCCAGGAGTCTTACTGTGAGAGTCATCCCTGGGGCTGGGACAAGAACACGGTATCTTTCAGGACAAAGTGGCCAGTGTGTATGAAGCCCCAGGCTTTTTCCTAGACTTGGAGCCTATCCCTGGAGCCTTGGAAGCCATGCTGGAGATGAACAACATGCAGGAGTGAGGAAGGGCAGAGAGGGAGGGCGGTGGAGGAAGGGCGGGCACCACCCCAACTAACCCGTGCCCCTTCCGTGCAGCACGGAGGTCTTCATCTGCTCCAGCCCTCTGCTGAAGTATGAACACTGTGTGGGTGAGAAGGTGCGGTTACCACAACCCTTTCTAGCAAACAGATTCCTAAGTTCTGATGTTTAAAATAAACCAGCAGAACTGAAACACAGGAAGTGTGGTGGTGGTGGGCGGGGAGCAGCATCTCTCAAAGGCTGGAGACTCCACTCGCACGTATTTACTCACTGGCCCTACTGACAGACCTGTGTCCTCACCACAGTACCGCTGGGTAGCGAAATACCTGGGGCCCCAGTTTGTGGAGCGCATCATCCTGACGAGGGACAAGACGGTGGTCTTGGGGGACCTGCTCATTGATGACAAGGACAGCATTCAAGGTTAGTTTTAGACCTGTTTTTCTGGCAACCTACCAGGCATCTGGCCTGCTGGGATTAGGGAGAGGGAGTAAAATAACCAGATTACAGACTACGTCTCACTGCCTTTCTCCCATGTCCTGTCCCAGGCCAAGAGGAGACCCCAAGCTGGGAGCACATCTTGTTCACCTGCTGCCACAACCAGCACCTAGCCCTACCCCCAACAAGGAGACGGCTGCTCTCCTGGAGTGACAACTGGAGGGAGATCATAGAAAGCAAGCGGGGGGCCAGAACAGTGGATAGCAGCTGAAGGAAGGAAAGGCAGGCCAGCAGAGAACCTTAGCAGAGCTGAACGACAGGGCAGTGTCGTGGTGGTGGCCCCCAGCACTGCAGAACAGGGAGACACAGTAACCTCCATTCTCGCAAGCCAGCCACCTGGAACCCAACAAGATGGCTGGCAAGGAAACATGGTGGGAAAATCACTCAGGAACCTTTTTAATAAAACACTTTGGCTCAGCATTCTTTAAAGGCCCTTTATTTGGGAAGGTAAAGGGACAGGAGCCCTGGGAAGGGCAGGTGGAATACAGGCTGACAGGAGGCTTTCTCCTCCCTCCTCCTGTCCATAGTCCAGTGGCTCCAGAACCTGCCCCACCTTCACAACCAGACACCACCTCTCTTGCATCTGCTTTTCCTTGGCTATGTTAGAGGTCAACCTTGAGGGAGTGCAAAAGGGAGGCCAAGAAGCTCCCCACTGCTCCTGAACTTTCCATGAGGGTCCCATCAGATAGACTGCTGTGGATAAAATGTTGATCCCAGGCCACAGAATTCTCCAGGCCGGCATCAACCATACCCAGTATCCAGCCAGGGGAGCTTGCGGTGCAGGTACCCAGCCTCTGTAGCCCTGGAGTGGGCACGACACCTTCTCGGAGCCCCAAGCTGGCTTCTCATTTCCATTCTTCAAGATTATTTCAGATACTTCTGTTAAAGGAAAATTCCTGTTTCCTCAAGCACAAGCAAGTCTAATCCCAGGCCCAGCTGTTCTTCATGAAAAGCTCCTTCCTTTAAAGCCTCTGAATCTAGGGTCCCAACTGCTTCTCACGTGATGTTGATGCCCTGGCAGTGAGGCACTGCGGGGAGGGGGCGAGGCAGGAGCTTGACCTCCAGCGGGTTGACAGTGCCAACCTATGGAAATGGCACTGCCTTTGCGCTCTTCCTCGTATCCCAAAGCCTGGCCTCCTCTCTCAGTGCCCCTCACCACAGTGTAAATACCTGTCACGCTGAGAAAACTCACCTTTAAAATAGCCGAAAGGGCACCTCTGGGGAAAAATGCTCAGCGGGAGCCAGGCAGCTCCTGCTCCCCGAGCCCCCACCAGGATTGTGGCCTCATCTCTAGCAGTCAGGGCGTCATGGCTGCGAGGTCTCCCTGGATCTGGGCTGCTGTGGGGCCTCAGTCCTTGGCAGTGGGATCCCCAGGGCAGAGTGGGCCTGCCAGGTGCGGGCCTCCGCCACCTGGCTTGGGGAACAGAAGTCTTCCAGGAAGATCTGAGCCAGGTTGCGGAGCCTCGTGTTGGCTGAGAGAGAGAAGCGCAGCATGCACTGCACCACAGGCATGGCGGTCAGCTCAGGGGGGGAGCTGGAGCCCGGGGAGCTCAGGTACATGATCGTGGTTACAGCAGATAGCACGGTCTCCTCATTGGGACTGGACAGGCAGTTGATGATGAGTGGGACGCCCCCTGTCTGCAGGATGTGCTCCTTGTTCGCCCTGTCTGGGCACAGGTTGCAGAGGCCTCCTGGGGAAGAACAAGAGGAGACACGATGCCTCAGGCCTGTGCATCCTCCCACCTCCCCTCCCAGCGCCTCTGCCCACTTTGTCCCAGGGACAAGGGATCCAAAGTCCATTCTGGTATCCACCCCTTCAAGGCTCCCGAAGGCCCGCCTGCCTGCCAGAGCCTAGCCTTCAGGAAGCGAGTACCAATCCCTTTCCTCCTTGGTTCAGCCAGTTAAATGGTTAATATGTTTTTTTTTTAAGCAAAAATAAACAAAACCAAAAAGACCAACCCCAACCAAAAAATAAAGCCCATATCAGTTTACAGAATTAAACGGGGGCGCCTGGGTGGCTCAGTTGGTTAAGCATCTGCCTTCAGCTTAGGTCATGAACCCAGGGTCCTGGGATTGAGGCCCACATCGGGCTCCCTGCTCAGCAGGAAGCCTGATTCTCCCTTTTCCATTCCCTCTGCTTGTGTTCCCGCTCTCCTGTCTTTCTCTATCAAATGAATAAGTAAAATCTTTAAAAAAAAAATTAAAAAACATAGGTCAGGTGCTGATTCACACATGTATATACGCCAATACTTATCAAACTATCCTTTAAAGATGTACAGCTTATTATATATCAGTTATCTCAATAAAGCTGTTAAAAGTACTAGAAGCCAAATTATAAACCAATTTAATCCTACCATCCATCTAACATTTGCTTTTCCTTTCCTCAACTTCAAAATACGTGAATACAGGGGTGCCTAGGTGATTCAGTGGGTTAAGCCTCTGCCTTTGGCTCAGGTCATGATCTCAGAGTCCTGGGATCCAGCCCCACATCGGGTTCCCTGCTCAGTGGGAAGCCTGTTTCTCCCTCTCCCACCCCCCTGCTTCTGTTCCCTCTCTCGCTGTTTCTCTGCCAAATGAATAAATAAAATCTTAAAAAAAATGTGGATACACATAAACATTTAATAAAAATGTGATAGTTTCCTGTTTGTAAGTCAGCTTTTTTCATTCAGCAATGGACTCAGAACATCTTTCCATGCCAAAAGATCTACAACCACTGTGTCATTTAATGGCTGTGCAGTGTACTACTTACGGATGCAGTGTAATTTACTTAAATGCTACAGGAAGCGGGGGACAGGTGGGGTCTGGCAGGGACATGCCTCTTCCAGAGGCAGAAGTCTGCCCAGGTCTGGCACTGCCACCCTCCCTCACGGTACCTGGGTCAGTTTGAGTCCTGCTACAGGAAAATATCTTTAGAAGTTTTATCCATTCAGCCTCTAGGGACTTCTCCCTGCGTTCAGAATAAAATCCAAATTCCCCTTTGACGTCTTCACAGCCCTGCACCATCTGGTCTTGTCCTTCTCTGGTACCCACAGCCTCAGCCCTTCCTGGGACCTTCCGGGCCCAGATTTTCACATGCTGCCTCACTTGGGCTGGTAACCAACACGTCACTGCACCCTCACCAGTAAGGGTCCCCCAGAATACCCCACTCTGACCACATCCAGGGCAGTCCCCGCATCTCTGCCATTTTCTTCATATGCCTAGCACCCTGAGAAACCACCCTGGCAGGTTTGTTTTCTTGCTCACTAGCTGCCAAGCCCCACTAGAAGGCAGGTGCCTTAAGGTCAAGACCATGGCCATCTTATTCCCACAGGTCCTTGGTGCCTGGTCAAGAAGCACTCCACGAGTACTGTTGGAAGAGCTTAGAGCACTGAGCTGGGGAGAGGGGCTGTACTGCAGAGGGCTGGGGGCTGGGCAGCTGGCTCCGAGATGTCGCCTACCATGGACTTCCGCAGTTCGGGGACCCAACTGTGGCTCAGAGCACCTCTGAGGGAAGGAAGCAGCTGAGGGTCACTCCCGCAATCACGAGGCAAGGGAGACAAGGCACTCTGACAGAGAGGTGCCTCCCCATGGGACACGCAGAGACCTGGCCTGCTGATACTACCTCAGCACATCCTGGGGCATCCCGTGGACTGCCTTCCGTACTTGTGCCGTCCCTGTCACGACACCACAAGGCAAGGCCTGGGTATCTGGTTTACTGCAGTATCCTAGGCACCTGTGACTGGACGCTCACTGGACACGTGCTGGGAACACGACTGAACCCCAGGAAGTGGTACCACCACCCTGATTTTAGTGGAAGCTGAGGCTGTTAAGTTGCCCGAAGTCCCAGAAGATGGGAAGCCCTATGTCACGGTCTGGTGGGCTTCTGGCTTCCTGGACACAGCTACACCATCTCTTCTGAACCGCCAGCAGTGAACCAATCTCCTACCCACTGTAGATTAACTGACTGGGGGTAGGCGATGGGATTTATCTCTGCTGTAAAGTATGATAAGATGAAGTCTGAGTCACCCTTGGCCACTGAGTCATCATCACAGAGAGATGAGCCTGGGCAGGACACTGCCACCTGGGGTTGGGGGATAATCAGATGGCATCTGCTGGAGGGCGAAGCCAGGCAGCCTCTGGACAGCTGGCCCCATCTGCTCCCTGTTTGTAGACCTAGGAAGTCTCCAAGGATGGATCTTGTGCCTGCCAGAGCTTGCCACTGCCTGGACCCAACCCCAGGGCATTCCTGAAGCCTCTCCACTTTGCGGGCAGCGATCCTCAGAGTAGAAAACAAGAGTGAGTGCTTGGAAAGAGAAGGGCTTCAGGGGGCAAGGAGTCTGAACGGAAGCACCAAAAATGGAGCCAGGGGACCCAGGAGAAGCCAAGGCCACAGCGAAGTGAGCTCGCCCTCTCGAGTCTACCTCTGTGAGCCTGCCCTGAAGAACGAAGGAGGGCTACAGGAAAAGAAGAACACAAAACTGGAAACTTCATAAATAATGCCCAGCAAGAGTAGGCTGGTTGGATCCAGTTCCGTCTGTCCGTATGATGGGAAATTCTATAATTCTTAAAAATCATGTTTTCAAAGAGTACTAGAGGAAAATGCTTGCAACATAAGCTTAAGGAGGGAAAAACGTCATCAAATTGTATATACGATAAAACTGCGATGGAACGAGTTAAGTACAGCAAGGTGTCACCTCTTCTGAAAGCCTTCCACGACCCCCCTCACGGCCCGTCTCCCCAGCACCCTCCCCCCACCTCCTTTGGGTCTCCTCTTCATGCCGAAGTTATCTGTCAGGTTTACTGAAGGTCCCCACTATATCCCAACTTCCACCAGAGGGGGAATTTGTCTTGTCTCAAATGGTCACCTCAGCCTGGCATATAGCAGATGCTCAATAAACGGACAGACGCATTAACTAAAGACAAGCTGGAAACACAGCCGAAGGTTAACAAGGCTTATCTGTGCAACAGATCAGGAGTCATTTCACCTTTATTTTCTAAGTCTACTTCCACAAAAATACTTTGTTTCCTTTTTTTGTTTTGTTTTGTTTTCTGTGGAGAGGAAACAAGGTAGAAAATGTTATTTTTATATGCAGGAAAAGGAGTTTTTAAAAGACTCACTTATTTTAGAAAGAGCAAGAGAGAGCGCATGTGCACGAGCAGAAGAAAGGGCAGAAGAGGAAGAGAAACCACCTCAAGCAGACCCCGCTGAGCACGGAGCCAGACCCAGGGCTCGATCCCAGGACCCTGAGATCATGACCTGAGCTAAAACCAAGAGCCAGCCGCTTAACTGAGCCACCTCGGTGCCCCGGAAAAGGATTTTTTTTTAAAGCTACATTTAAGATTATTTATTTATTTATTTGGCAGAGAGAGAGACAGAGTGAGAGTGTGTGTGTGTGTGTGTGTGTGTGTGTGTACACACAGGGGGAGCAGCAGAGGGAGAAGCAGGCTTCCCAGCTGGGGAGCCCAAGACGCCAAGATCATGACCAGAGCCGAAGGCAGATGCTTAACTGACCAAGCCACCCAGGCGTCCCTAAAGGTAAATTTCATTTAGAAAGTAAAACTCACCAAATGACATCACTAAAAAAAGTGAAAAGACAAAAGGAGAAAATATTAATAAACTCTGTATCTGAAAGAAGACTTCTTCCCGGATACACAAGAGTATATATTACTGCCTATCAAGAAAAGATAAACATGCTGTAAAAACGAGAAGAGGCCTGGATAAGGACAGTGATGTGTGACAGTGTGCTCGTCACTACCTCTCGGAGAAATGAAAATTCACACCATGCCAGGGGCCTCCCCCGCCTACTGTCATGGCTAAAGCAGAGCACACTGACAAGACTAAGGGCTGGTGGGAGGTGGGGCTGGGGACTCCTCATAGGCTGGCGGCTGGGCGCCTCACACGCCATCACGGGGATGGAAAATACGTGGCGGCTCCCGCCGAAGTTAAGCGTGTACCTCCCCTGTGACTCAGCAACTCACTTGTACTTGGACCTGAGAGAACGGAGTACCTGTGGGCACGCGAACACTCGCGTGCCAGCCCTGACGAGCGCTTGTGCACGAAGGCTCCACACCAGAAGCCAGCCTCCGTCGGCAGCCGAACTGGGCGAACGGACAGCGGCGTAGCGCACCACGACGTGAGCCAAAGACATGGTGGCAATCTGGGCAAACCTCAGAAACGCTGAGTGACAGAAAGCAGACCCAGGAGTACATCCTGCGTGATTCCACTAAGATGAAGCTCAAGAACAGGCAAAACAGGGGCGCCCGGCTGGCTCAGCCGGTGGAGCAAGCAAATCCTGATCCCGGGGTTGCGAGTTCAAGCCCCACATTGGGTGTGGGGCTTGCGCAAAACTAAAATCTTTTTTGGGGCGCCTGCGTGGCTCAGTCGGTTAAGCGGCTGCCTTCGGCTCAGGTCATGATCCCAGGGTCCTAGCACTGAGTCCCGCTTGGCGGGGAGCCTGCTTCTCTCTCTCCCTTTGCCTGCTGCTCTGCCCCTCCTTATGCTCTCTTTCTGTAAAATAAAATCTTAAAAAAGATAAAATCTTTTTTTTTTTAGAGAGAGGCGTGCACTTGCATGTGCAAGAGCATGGGGCAAGGGCACAGAGGGAGAGAGAATCCCAAGCAGACTCCATGCTCCATCACTCACCAAAATAAAGCCTTAAAACAACAACAAACTAGGCAAAACCCATGGGTTAGAACAGTGGTTACCTGCGGG